TACATATTACCAACAGTGGTGTAGACCTTAAATTGACACAATTGCATAATGTTTGTAGTTTGTGGTTTTCTTGAATTACGTATTCTGAGATTATAGGCCTGTAGGTTGTAGCCATGTTGGTCTGACATAGGCAGACAAGGTTCCTTGGGTGAATCTGATATCTTTTATTAGACCAACCCAAATAGTTGGAAAATAATTATTAAGCAAGCTTTCGGGTTCAAAAACCTTTCGTCAGGCTAAGGAAGTTTCAGCTGTTGGTGTGTGTTCTTCCTTCGCTCCATCCAGGAAGAGCACACACCAACTGCTGAAACTTCCTTAGCCTGACGAAGGGTTTTTGAACCCGAAAGCTTGCTTAATAATTATTTTCCAACTATTTGGGTTGGTCTAATAAAAGATATCAGATTCACCCGAGGAACCTTGTCTGCCTATTCTGAGATTGAGATTTTGATTTCACTTGAAACTATCCAACTCATACTTTACAATGTAATCTGTAGTCATCTCATAAACTAAGTAGGGATAAATTAAATTGGCTCTTGTATGGGAAATTTTCAAGGAAACAACATGCTGCAGGGAGGGATTGTTCTGTGAAGTCAGCAGGCTGCACTCTTCCCTCTGAGTCAGTACTGAACCCAGTTTCCTACATGTGGAATAGGAAGCTGCTGAAGGTATGATCTTTTACATTAACCAAGTTTCTGAAAACATATGGTCAATAAAAATCTCAAGGTCTTTTTTTGGTAGGGGTATGAAGCCTCAAGGTCCTGGACAAATTCCAGGCTAGTTAATTAATTTCTTCCTGGAATAAATATATACTTGGCATGTCAAAGCCTAATGAGCATTAAAAGAGTTAGCAAGTGAAACAGACATCAGTAATATATAAAATATTTGGGATTTTTTTTAGAAGAGACTGAGAAAGATTACCCTACTATTTTATTTGCTAGCTGTTTTTACTTTTTTCATGAAGAACCTATATTTATGAATTTTTAAAGTCCGAGTACAAAAGATCTCATAGTATTAGAGTGTATAAAATAACCCATGAAATATTGACCATTTTCATTATAGTTCAAGTAAAGCCAAAATGTAACCTTAAAAAAATTAATGCATCTTACTGTTGCAGAAAACTAACCAAGATGAATGTAGTATATATCATATCAGCATCTTGGCACCATTTTTAAGAGACTAGTGACAAGTATGATTCCTAAAAGATTTAGGATGTTTGGTCAAACTGTATTTTTTTTCATTTCTGTTTCACATTCCTTCTTACTTTCCTCCATACTTTCCTTCTACCATAGGCAAATTAAAGGAAGACTTCTAAACCATTAAGAGTTGCTTTGTGCACGTTTCCCCTGCAATCTGGTATTCAAAAGGAAGAAACATTAGACGGAGTTTATTTATATTTCAGCACCAAATTAGAAAGATGACATCATTCATTTACAGTTCTTTCTCCATGACATGTCTAATCCCCAACACCTCATTACAGGAGACACTTTTAGGATTGCATATATCATCTTGTTTAGCTTTTGCATTCTTTTATGGAATACAGTTGAAAGGTAAGAAATTTAAGGCCGTTCATTGATAAGAAAATAAACTAATAAAATCTTAGGAGCTTCCCCAAAGAGAAAAGCTATTACAATGTTTACAGTAAGCGAGTTATTATTTGTCCATTAGTTCTCCATCTTTTTCACCCTCATATGTAGAAGGCCATGCCCCTTGAATATAAGTGCAGACAATCCAACTATAATTCAGATGGAGTTGATCCCTTGTTAAAGTTGGAAGAAACTCCTGCATAAGTAAAACAACCCTCCCATTAAGTATATAGCTTAAATAGATTCATAGGAAGAAAGGAACAGGCAAGCTGCACTTAAGCAACAATCCCCTCCTCCATTCCATTTTTACTGAACACAGGCCACATCTACATGAGATGCTGACTGTGCGGTAGCTCATTACTACTGGGCAGTAGCATCATGTGGCATGAAGTGTGATGCACAGTGTCACCAAAAAGCCATTTGAGGATGCTACTGTGCAGTAATGCCATTACTGTGCAGTAATTTAGTACTTGTGTATGCAAGTTCTAAATGACTGCGCAGTAAGGACTGTGCAGTGTCTCATGTAGACGTGGCCACAAAGATTTAAACTGCTTGCCACTATTCCATAATATGAAACCATTTCATTTAATGAAAAAATATACACTATGCTAATACATAACATCATCTCCACTCAGTAGAAATGTTTATTTGGCATCAGAAAGCAGGGGTACTGTACTGAAAATCTTTTTTGGGTCTAGGATTTTTTTTTTTTTTTTTAATTCAGTTCAGCTAGGCTGTTTTCCCATCCCCCACACTAGATCAGGCTGGGGAAGGGGAACTGAGTTAATCGGGCTCAGTTCCTTTCCCCAGCCCGATCACAGCGCTTGGGAGGGGAACTGAGCCTGGGCTCAGTTCCCTTCCCCTGTGCTGTGATTGGCTTCCTGCAGCCCGGCGGCAGGAGACCGGGAGCGCAGCCCTGATTCTCCCCTGTCTCCCACCACCTCACTGCCGGCTTCAAAAATCGAAATGTTTCAAAACTTATGAAACGTTTCGATTAGCCTCGTTTTGTTTCGAGGCTTTTTCGAAGCCCTTCATTTTGATACGATTTTGCTGTTTCAAGCTCAAAATGAGTCGAAACAGTGTTGAATCGAAACAGCTGGTGAAATTTTGCACAGCCCTACTAGTTAGGTCAATCTGAGTGTAACATCTGCACATGCTCCATTATAATGGCCAGCTACAAGGAGGAGGTTCAGCTATGTTTCAGTAACTTTTACTCTTTTTTGCCTTCCTTAGTGATTCATATACCCATCTTCCATACACATACACAAAATACATCTATTCCTTCAGACCTCTCACTTAAATCTTCTGCATTATTTGTACTGGGAATTTGACAGAGCTGATTAAATAATTTCCAGTGAAATGTTTTTCCCTCAGAATATATCAGATCAAAATCAAAAAGGTTATGTAGGACCATATCAGTTTTGACAAAAATTAATTTAGGAATAAAATGGAAAAAAGTATCTTAAAAGCAAAGCAGAGAGTTTTTATATTTGTTTTTTTTTTAATTTGGAATGTATTATATTTTGTAGTCTTTATTTTATTCAATATATTATTGTTTAATTACATATTATTTATTCATCAATTTTATTTTAATATTATACAGGGCTTTGTTATTTCTATGTGGTATTTAGAAAATAAAAATAAGATAGTATTAAAATAAAATAGAAAAACAATCACCACTGATATAAATATTTCACTGTTATATAACAAAATGTCTTTAACCCAAAACTTAAAAAACAAAACGAACCTTTGTTGCACAGGAAATATTTAAATTCAGTGTTTCTTCAAGGTTTTCAGAACAAAAACAGTTTTTAAAATTGTAGACTAGCCTGCAAAATAGAAAATTCAGTTTTAGACCTGCTACAGTATTCTGTCATTTTTATGCTTATTTCACCGCTACTTTCAGTGAAATTAGAGGCTCTCTGTGAGGAAAAATTAAAGTATGGGTGTGTAAGTGATTTAGTGTAAGAGAAAATATGTAGAGTGTTTCAAGTAAGATTCCTGTTGTGCTTTTCAGACATTTAAATGATGTTCCTTGCACCAACATCTAATTAATTCTGCAAATTTTGGGTGATGTCTTCAAGAGTGACCACAATTTATTTTGGGTTTTGTCAGGGCAGAAAAGGTAATCCCTTGATTACATTTCAAGAACGGTTGAGATTGTAGTAAATGTGACTGTTGGCGGTAGTCAGTGTTATATTTAGCAGTAAGTGTTTGCACGATTGGTCTATTACATTGTAAAAGTATTTTTGATGTGACCAGCAAGTTTTAGCTCATTTTACTCTGCATATCACTGTGACAAAAGAGGCTAGGTAGTTTGATTTCAGTCTGCAATTCTGACCAGGAACATTTTAGGGGACCCAGTGTGAGAATGTATTGATGTAAGTAGTTCAATAAGTAGGACAACTGTCCTTTCCATCCTGAGGGAAGATGGCAATCTGGGCCTAGCAGGGTTTGGAGATTACTCTCCGATTAGTTCCCGATGACACTGGCTGCTTGTACACGCTGCAGGGGTTTACTTTAGTTTAATTCTCCCTAAACCGAAGCGCCTTCCCCTTGAAAGTGGCATGATCTGTGAGTTGCATAATGTAATATTGCTGTAACAGTAATGTTAGGTTCTATTTTATTATTCCATGGTGATGACCTGTGAATTTTTACCTGTATAAGGAAGTTGCTGAAATGTTGAAATTTCAGTTACTTTCCTGATCTGATTGTGATGTAAAACTTGTTTTCCTTGGCTATCATGCTTCAAGTCATGTGATCACTTATCTCTCTATGTTGATGCCTGAATTTGCATCAATTCTTTTTCAGATTCTGGTATCTAGTTGTTTAACATCCTCAACCTAGCAGGCTACTAAAAAAAAACCCAACTGCAGGCCAAAATGCAGGTTTTGTTATAACTCCGTAACATCATTACTGTGGATTGTTAATTGGCTGTAAATGCAAATAGACATGATAATTTAAATTCCGTTTAACATGATTTTGCAGTTATTCAGTAGGACAACATATACTGAAAAATACATGTCTAGGAACTTGTTAGATTTTTGTTATTGTTCATATTCCCCAGGGAGTTTATAGGGCTGAATCCCTTATTTGCTTCTTATGCAATCCCATGAATTGATTTCAGCAAAGTAGAAGTATAATAAAGACATAATCTATTTTTGATAGTTTTCTTTCTCTTCTTAGGTCCAGTCCAAAGGGTTCTGTTTTCAGACCCTAATGCCTACCCTGTGCTAAATGCAGCGTTGCGGCCTTAGAATAAATTTACAATTACATCTAGATTTAGGAATGACAGAAGCAATATAGGTGCTATACAGCAGATGCTGGTGAAATTTTATTAGACTAATCTATTCCAACACTTAAGGGAATTGCCTCTCTCTCTCTCTCTCTCTCTCTTTCTCTCTCTCTCTCATACAGACACAGAACAGAATGAAACTGATGGCCGATAACTATGATGATGACCATCACCATTACCATCATCACCACCATCACCATCATCACCGGTCTCCTGGAAGGACACAGCACTCCAACCACAGACCCTCTCCAGATCAGGTCAGTTGCCTCTTTTCTTACCTTTACACATGCCCTTTTGCCATTCTGAAGTTTCAAGATAAAATAAATAAGCTAAAGAAAAAATAAACAATAGAAGTGATAGGCTCTTTGAACTGAAACTAATAGCTTTGGTATTTATTTCAATCAGTCACGGAATCTAAATGTTTTTCTTCCTCTTTCCTTTTGGCGTTTTGTCTCTCTTGTTATGTTTTTCTTCCCTCTTCTACTCTACTGGGTTTTTTTGGTTTTGTTTTTTTTTTTTTGCTTTCATAGTTCTCTTCAATAGAATCACAATTCAGCTGCCTAAATAGAAAGTTACTGAAGAATTCCTTGCACCAATTTCAGCATTAGGCTTGCTTTTACTTATTTTTTAAAACATCAGTGATCATAATCAAAGACTTAGCATTTCTACACTGAGCCCTTGTGGTCATCTGTTCCTAAACTAACTGGAAATATCTCTGTGTTTGAAATGATTATTGAGCAGATATCACACAAACTCTGTCTTGATCACCTTGAGGCAACGGTTTAAATGTTTTCATATACACTTTGGACTAAAAACACCAAGAAATTCTGAGTGCCTCAGTACTTGAGTGCCCAACGTAAGAGAGCATGGATTTTGTCTTCTTTAAATAAGGTTCTTTAATGGTGTGTCAGTTTGGGGCACCAAAATTGATACCAAGTCCCCAAATCTAGTTGCTTCTGCCAATAGACATAGTTTTTGTTAATAAATATATTAAAATATTCTTACTATTTTTAAAAATTGGAGGCAAAATAAAGTTAGAATTAAAATAAGATTATCTTTAATAAGCTGTACCATAATTGTGAAGTAGTACGCTTTCCAATATAAAATAAATCTTCATGCTTATAATTTGGATAATTTTAATGCATATTATTATGCATTTCTCTTGTCCTTCCAGCACATTTTTTAATTTTTTTATGCTGGTTCTATAGTTAATGTTGCTATAGGTCAATAGATAATTAACTGGTGTCAGTTGGTCAGCCTCAGTAATCTTGGATTGTAGCCATCTGGGTAAAGTGGATACCTCAGCAGTAGTTTATTATTTTGCTGTGCTGTGTTTCCAAACAGAAATACAGAGCCTTTTAATTTCTGAAAATCTAAGGACCTGATCATTCAAAGATTTAATCAACTGCATAACTTGATTCATTTAAGTAGTGCCATTGAAAATAATGGAAATTTGGCATAAAGTTACACATGGGTTTTAATCCTTTTAGGAGTGAAACCTTGATGTGTATTTCTAAGAAATGTCTTTGGTACTGTTGGAATTTAGATATGGCTGGCTTCATACTATTTTATTAAAATATCATCTGGCTGCCTTTTATACCATCTATCCCTGATTTCACTACAGTTAAAAGTAGGCAACATTTATCTGGGTATTTGATTCTGTGTCTACAGCTGTGATAGTAACCATTGATGGATATTTCACTACTTTAACAAAACCCAGATGTGCCAAATAGTTAAATATCTTTCTCAGGTGATACTTTTCCAAACCATAATATATTACTTCCTCCAAAAGAGCAAGGAAGAACCAAGTAGAAGAACTGCTACTCAGAGGCTTGTCTATGATTCACAGTAGGTGCATGTACAAGATCATTAATGCACCTTAGATAGTGTGCATTTAGTTTACTACTTCTCTAATAAAAGGCTAACTAAATGCGCAGTACCTAAAGTTACTCTACATTAGTGCTGGCACATGGTTAATTAGTGATGCTTACTGCACAGTAGGCTATTAACACCTTTTGTGCTGTAATGCTCTACTGCACAGTGCTGTTAGGCCAGTGCTCAGTAAGCATCTTGTGTAGATGTGCCCAATACCTCCAAGCACTGTGTCTGGGTTGGGGCAGTTACACATCAGCTTTTGCTGCAGTCTGTGTTTAGAATCAGTGCCTGGTCTATCATAAGATGTGAGAAAAGCGCACAGCCCACATTGGAATGAAAGGAAAAAGATTGAGATGTGGGATTGGGTGGAGTGATTTTGGTCAGGGTGGAAAGTAGCTTGGTAAGACAATATTGATAACTGAAGCAAATAGTAACATGCCAAAAAGCATGTAGAAAAAAAAAAGAAGTGGAAGGAGCTAGTGAAAAGGACTGAGGCACTCAGAAATTCTGAGTGGAAGAAATAATGGAACCATAGCACACATCCATAAAAATGTAGAAGGTGCTATAAAAACAGCCAGACTCATAAGATCACCAGAAGAGAATGGAGGTATAGAAGCTCTGGAAAGATGAGATGTTTTGTAGTAAAAGAAGAAAGTACTTTGGGCCTTAATGAAAGAGTGCAATGAAGAAGGTTAACGCTTGATTGGGAAGGGATCCAAGATGTAACTGAGGAGAATGATTGTAGGTGATGAATTTAGTGAATTTTGTAGGTGATGGGAAATGGGGCTTCCCTGAAGAGCCAGGGAAGACTGAGGATAAGGGAGAAAAAAAGCATGCCTGCCTTATGAGAGGAATGAACTGAAGCAGAAGAAAGGTTAAGAATGAATCATAAGAGAATCTAGAGAAAAGCCAAGAAAAAAAGGCAAGGGCAAAAAAGAGTAGTAAGTAAAATATGATGAGATTGATAGATTGGAAGTTACAGAACAGCTGAGCAAAACAGCAGGTAGGTAGTAAAGGAAGAAATGAAGAAGTGGTCAGAGTATAGATAGTGAAAAGTGAAAAAATGAGCAGAGTTTAGTGTAGACAAGGTTAAGTGGGCAGCCTTTTTGATGAGTTCAAAACTGATTTTGAACATGACTAAGGATGAGAATGGAGGAATATCATGAGCTTGTGGGGATAAACTCAGAAAAGCTGAAGTGCAATATGAGTTAGAACTAGCAAGAAATGTAAAAGGAAACAAGGAAAGGTTTATATATGTGAAATGAAAGGAAAATTAAGAAAAATATAGTGCAGGAGAGAGAGCATGTGTTGACAGTGCAGAGAAGACCTAAAAATTCAATACCTCCTTTGCTGTGTGGCCAGACATGTAATGATTAATGTTGACAAGGGGATAGGAGCCCAGGCTGGGACAGATTAAAAAATATTTAGCTTAACAGGTGAATTCAAGTTGGTAGGGTCTGATGAAATTCATCCGAATAGTTAAGAAACTAGCCATAGTAATTTTGGAGTCAGGGCTGAGAGGGTATCACAGCTCTGAATGGGTGCAACAAGCCATGTGGACCCTGGCTCTTTCACCATCCTTCCATGCTGCTGCAACTTTGCCAGCCGAGTGGCAACCAGGGTGCAGTTGGATCAGCACACACTACTGCCTGCCCATGTTTGGGGTTCCCAGGTCCAGCAGTCACACTGTTTCCCAGGGGTCTCAGCTCTCACCTGACAATCATGGTAGAGTGCTACTGCACCACCCTCCCCCTTTAGGTAGTTGCTCCAGCATGTTACATGTTTCCATGATGCTGCATTGCAGGGATCCCTGGTATAGCCTTCCTGTTCTCTCCCCATGCCTGCTCCTTACACCTCTGAGCTACAAGTGGCCAGGGATTTGGTGGGGCTTTGCTTCTACCACTGTGGGCATCCAATGTTGGCTTGTACATAACTGAGTGTATTTGTGTATGTACAATAGCAGGAGTGATGAAGAGAGTAATGGCCAGATGAGAGTCCATGGGCCACCAGCTGGATAGCCCTAATCTGAGTGATTATTTTTGAGAACTTGTGTAGGATGAAGGAGGTCCCAGGAAGATGGAAAAGGGCCTGTAGGACCTGACTTTAAAACAGAAAAAGATGACCCTAGGGGATTCCAGACTCTGTTATACCAGTCAGGCTACCTTCACTTCATGGAAGAATTCTTGAACAAATTATTGAATACCAGTGCACACAGAAGAGATAATTAAGATGGTAAAAAAAAAATTGCAGTGTAGGCTTGTCAATAACAAATTGTGAGAATACTCTCATTTCCTTCTTTGACTAAATAATTGCCCTAGTAAATAAGTAGATATGATCTATCTTGACTTTATCAGAGTAACCTTCTTATGTAAAAAAAAAAAAACCAAACAAAAAAACAACCCCCCCAAAAACAACCCCCCCAAAAACCAAAAAAAACCAACCCCCCCAAAAACAAAAAAAGCAAAAAAAACCCCCAACCGCCCCAAAAAAACAAAAAAAGCAACCCCCAAAAAACAACCCCCCCAAAACCCCCCAAAACAAAAAAAACCCCCAAACCCCCGAGAAATACTGTCTAGATGCAATCACCATAAGATGAGCACACACCTTATGGTTGAAAACCTTAATTGTATTCTGTCTAACAGGGAAGACATTTCAAGTGAGGCCATGCAGAGGTCTGTCCTGGACCCAGTCAATATTTTCATTCACAACCTGGATAATAGTATAGAGAATACATTCCTTAAATGTATGGATAATAAGAAGTGGAAAGGGATTGCAAACACTCTAAATGGCAGGACCAGAATTCAAAATAATCTTGACAAATTAGAGAGGTGGTCCAAAATTAGTAAGAGAAATTTTACAAAGGCAAGCTCAAAATTCTGCTCTTAGGAGTAACAAATCAAAGTACAGGTCAGAATGGGGAACAACTGGATAGGTGGCAGAAAAGGAGCTGGGGGCTATCATGGATCATAAACTAAACGTAAGTCAACAGTGTGATACCTTTGCAAAAAAAATCATATCTTATTCGGAGAGGTATGAATAGGAGTTTTGTATGTAAGCTAATTATTTTGATGCACTCGGTACTGGTGACTCCTCACTTGAAATATTGTGTCCAGTTTTGGCCACCATTTTTAAAAGAAAAGTGTACACACATCAGAGTCTGGTAGTGAACAGAAAAAACAGGTGGCTTAAAAATATGACCTATGAAGAAAGGTTGAAGGAACTGGGCTTGTTTAGTTTAGAAAAGACTGAGTGGCATATGTGAAAGCTTATTGTAAAGAGGTTGGTGATCTAATTGTTTTCCATGTCAGCTGGGAGAAGGACAAAATTAATTAGCTCTATTCCCAAAAAATAAAATTTAGGCTGGATATTAGGAAAAACTGAAACACTGAAACAGGCTACCTAGCGATATTGTAGGAAGTCCTTTGTTGCAGGTTGTTAGGAGCAAATTAGATAAACTTCTCTCCAGGACAGCATAGATGTACTTTGTACTGATTTGGTGCAGCAGTTTCAGACTAGATCATCTCTTGGAGATCCCTTCAGCCTTGTATTTCTATGATTGTTTGATGATATAAACAACACAGAGTTGATGCTAGCTCTGAATGTGTGAGAACTACTCTTTGCCTATTCTTACGTTTTTCAATCATGAATAATTTTTTTTTCTCTGTCTGTGCTCTGTTATTAGTTGCGATTCCATGCAGTTCCCTTTGTTATTGCAGTTTGATTGCTATGTGGT